GTTCTTGTAAGGAATAGTTGAGAATGGCGAGCATGGCTGACTGAAACCTGTGCTCAATTTTATAATTTTGTCGTCGCTGCATTCAGCGACAGGACAGTCGAACCATAGTATATGCACCGTTCGACTGATTGACATGCCTGGCAATTTACTGCTCGCTTTAACAAGATATGACCAACAAACCAGTTAAGATGCGTCTGTCTCGTATAAGTGCGTCTAACGCAGAAATTCATAAGCTCCTCGTTGAACAGTAATAATGATTCACTTTCTACATTAAATAGTCATTCAAATATTGCACTTGCAAAGGAAAAGTTTACAGCGTCATAGAAGGTAGTCAGAGTCATTCTATCATTCTGTATACTAAATTAGCCATAAACAACTGATAGTAATGTTACGTAATTTTTGCGTTTCATGGCTAGGACCCTTCCGATTCTAGCAAGTAAACAGCCGAACGACAAATTGCCTTTGAAACTTTTCTCGATTTTATGCCCATGTGACAATTTCTCTGCCCACCTGCATTTCAAGCCATGGATTGGAGCAGACACAAAACGAGCTCCTTTTGTGTCTCGAAGCATGAATCAGAAACAGAAATTAATAACTGAATTTAGATTCTTTGTGTAGTTCCTTAATTATGGCCCCTGAAATTCTAAAAATAATAATAAAAAGAAAGATTCTGTCAGGTCTAAAGATTTTTTTAAGTTGGATAATTTAAATGAAGTTTAGGATCCCCGAGACATGATAATACACCAGACATCAGTTGGCGTATAATTTGTCCAAGACCAGATTTCACGGCGTGCTGTGTTGGCCCACTGCTACTAGCTTCCAAAGGAGGTCATTTAGACAGGGCACAGCTCGTTGGTAATCGAGACCCCATTATTAGATGCATCTCACATTATTTTATTTGCTAGAGCAATTTCTTAATCATCACAACCTAGGCTTCAAAAACCGTTGCCTTTAACACGCTGTTCCATTAACATCTCAAGAACTGCATTCAATATCTTTAACATCCTTTTACCTGTGATATATTTTCTTATAATGCTGCTTCCGGACAAGGTACATTCACAGAGACGAAAAATTATTGGCACAATTAAGCCATCTGGTAGTATTTCTGATGACTACGAGTACGCGCTGTCGAAGCCGATGGTGAATGAAAAAAAAATTTTGAGTAAAACATTATTTTACCGTAAAAATAATGATACCGGACTAAGACATTATTAATACATTATTTTATTCAAAATTACACGCGACACAAATGTCTTTCGTACGGACCAAAGTTTCTACTGATGTTAGCAACCCTTCTCGACTGCAAACAATCAGATGGATATATACAGATATGTACAAGTGCGGACGCAAGAGATGGTCAAGATGTATTTACAATTTGTTTTTACCTTTTGTCTGGAGTTTACACAAGTTACGCCATGAAGGTTAGATATTTGACTCGTTTTCCTCTTTTCATGACGTTGATTCTTCTCTAAATTAAAACCGGTTCGGCAACTAGACATTCTTATTAGTTCCCAACCGTTATTACTATGCTTGGACAGTTATAGTCGACGCTAGTCATAGGGTAGCTGCCACGCTTTTCTTCCAGGTGTCGCTCTCCTTCCGTCGTTGGATTTGTGGCGGTCGCCGCCCTTTCATGCTCTACCATTCTAGCTCGCAGTTGTCTCACAAACTGACCAAATGTTAGACGGCAATCTGAGTAAATTTCTTCGTTCGTTATTTTGCCTTCAGTCTTCGTCAAGCGAGTTCTTAATTTTTCATTTTATTTGAAGTCCGTCCTAATGTTCCCCTTTTCCATTGCAGACGTTGCATGCCACAGTGAGCGTTCGTGTTCCTGGTTGACCAGCGATGTTGTTCCGGATCCTTATTACACTTTTCTTGATAAACTGATGCTAATATTTGTTTGTCTGTAGATTTTTTCACGCGGTCGATTTCATGTTTAAGCTCTGTTTCGTCTGATGTTAGTCACACGGCTCTGTCAAATAAGCTTCGGACCACACCTGTTTTCGTACTGATGTCGGATGATTAAATGCTTACATAATATTCCATGTAGGTGGGCTAGCGATCGACAGGTTTCTAGTGGTCCATCGTTTTCTCTGCATACGTTGCAGTCTAAAAACGCGATGGAACCGTTCTTCCGACTTCCATCATGAACTGAATCGATGGATTCATGGTATTTACATATTAGGAGAACGCTGACTCTTAATCAGTGACATAAGATCACTGATTTTATATGATAACAAATGTGTCATCAATGTATCTCCACCATACTGTAGGTGGCGCATGAAGTTTATGAAACCTCCTTCTCCAATTTCTCTTGAAGATGCTGATGACCATTGGAGACAGCGAGCAAACCATATACATGTTTCTTTTGGCTGTATGTATTGTATTACCTCGAAAGTGAACCAGGCGTTTTTCATGCAAAGTCTTATGCACCTAGATACCTCTTGCTGGTTACTTTTCTTACGATTGCCTCAGTCAGTATTTGTAGTTAGTTTTTCTTTCACGTACAATGCTACTTTTTTAATAAGTATGCTAGTAAGAATGAAATTACATCGAAGCTTACCGCAATTTCATCGTGGTCAAACGTCGTTTGTCTTTTATACCTAGGTCATAGCGCAGTGAGTCCTTTATGAAAGTGTTTAATCTTCCGACAAGACTGTTTGCTTAGGAATCTAACCAGGTACTTTGCAAATTTGTACGTAGGGCTTCTAATACAGCCCTCAATTGGTCACAAAGGAACATCTTTATGTGAATCGTTGGCAGCCCATGGATGCGTGGCGCCTGGTCTGACTTAAAGTTGATGTGATAGAACCACGGATTGACCACTGCTTCTGTAAGGGATGCTGAAGCCTATTCAAATTTCTTACGACCTGCGTTTCCAGCGGTTTTCAGGACTCTTAATGCGTTTTCGCACAAAGAATTGTCTTAGCCTTTTGTGTATATTTCGGTTTCTTCATCATTTGTACTACTTTACCTCTACACGATAGCAGAGATCTGATGACAGCGTTTTGATTCTGTCTCTTTTTCTTTGGGAATATTCATTTTTTCTTTAAAGGTCTTCGAAGAATGTAGCATATTTTCTGACGGATGTCTTCTGATGTCTGGATCCAGATGCTGGATTCTAGTTTCAATTGCACAAATACACTTTAAGAACTTTCCTCGGAACAGTTGCACGGTTGAAACCTCTCCTTAGCAGACCCTTTCCACCCTCTGTCAATGTTCTCTCTGAGAGGCTGACACTTCATTTTGCCTTCTGTATCCTCCTAGTTGTGATTTGGCCGTTGTAATGGCTTGAGCATTTCGCTGCTTTTCTTCTGGCGTTTGAAACTTTCTTCTCTGTCGCTTCTTGACTGCGATGCTTTCAATTTCTGTCAATCTTAA